TACATTTTTTTATAGGTTAAATGCTAGATTTGGTCCCTCAACTTTAGTGAGTTGCACATTTTTGGTCCCTTAACAATTTTTTGCACTTTTTTGATCCCTCAACTATACGAAATGCACTCCATTAGTCCTTCTGTTAATTTCGATCGTTAACTCGCTTATGTGGTATTTTTTATAATTTTTTTGATGACGTGGCAAAATCAAATTGAAAACATGTTAGATGTGGAATTTTTTTTTTTTATGATGTGGCAAAAATAAATTGAAAACATGTTAAACGTGGAATTTTTTTTATGCCAACTCAATTATTACTATTTATATTTTTAAAAAATAAAATAAAATCATTCGTTAATCTTCTTCCTTTCTTTTTCTTTTTTTTCTTCCTCTTCTTTCTTCTTCCTCTTCTTCCTCGGGTTCCATCGAACCCTCTGCTGGGTTCGGTGGAACCCAGATCTGGGTTCGATGGAACCCAACTCTTGGTTCCGTCGAACCCTCTGCTGGGTTCGGTTCCACCGAACCTGGGTTCGATGGAACCCAGCACCGAACCCAGAACCCAGCTCCACTTTTTTTTTTTTTTGTGTTTATTTGATTGTTTGCCAAGAGATTATTCAAATTGCAGGTTGTTGCGAGTGATTTTTGGACAATTGAGTTCAGTGAATTGAGCTGGGTTCCGATGGACCTATTTGCTGGATTATATCAAACCCAGATTTGCTGGGTTCCGTCGAACTTCCGATGGGCAAAGAAGCAATTGTTAGTGGTAATGTGGGACCCATTTAGATGAATTTGGCGTGTTTTCGCCAGGTAGCATGTGACATGGCAATAGTTTTATCCATGTCATCACTTTTTGAAGTTTTACTCTCCACATCATCAAAGAAAATATAAAAAATGCCATCTAAGCAGACTTAACGGCTCAAATTAACAGAGGGACTAACGGAGTGCATTTCGTATAGTTGAGGGATCAAAAAAGTGCAAAAAATTGTTAAGGGATCAAAAATGTTCATTTCGTAACATTAAGGGACCAAATTAAGCATTTAACCTTTTTTATACCATAAAAGTTTATGTTATAATTGCAACTAAACAATAAAACTTGTAACTAAATAAATAAAGCTATTCTATATAAAAGATTAACAATATCTAAATATATAATTTTCAATATTTATTTATTATAAATTGCTAATCTCAAAATTTAATACAATACACAAAATTTTTTTCATCTTTTATGTAACATAAAATCTAACAAACTATTTTTATAATTAAATAATGAAATAATTCTATCTAGTTTTCTACACAATCTATATTTTTTTATATAATACCAAAATATATTTTTACAATTAATATTAAAAAAATCATCTAGCTAAAACACAAATTAAACATAAATTCATGAGATATCAATTATCAAAAACAAAATTTAAGATTTAACAACATTCTAATCTATCATTTTAACAATTAAATATAAATTTTATTTTTGAACTTTACTTAAAAACACAGAATAATTAAAAAATTTTGAAATAAAAAGAAAAAAATTCAGAAAATTCACTTATAAGGTAGATTAGGGACCAATATACTTGTAGATGCCCAGAT